TTATCCCTTCTGATGAAAAATATTTGGAATTCTTTTCCACGTGATAAGTGAAATATTTAACCGAATTTGACTAAAATGACGGATATAGGCTCTGATCATTGGCAGCAGTTTTAATGCTACATCTGCAGATGTATGACCTGATGTAAAAAAACTCACCACCACATTAAATGTTTCCCATAAAATCTAACGATCGTATTTTCATTATTAGACTTAAAACTGAAATCCTCTAGAAATTATTTATGAAGAGAGTTTTAAATGATCATTTCTTTTATATTGGAAATAGTTAACTGAATATTTCAAAAACTTAATAACTGAACGGTATTTTGGGACATACGTTATCGTACCTCAAGCTCAGTTCCTTTTCGTCTGCGGTTAACTTTTTCCCTTGGTACGTTTTCAGCTTACTCCAGAGTTCTGTATTGTCACTTGGGCGTCCTGTACACACTGAGCAAGCGTTGGAGACACGGGTTTTATAAGGACAGAGACATTGTCATAATTCAATTATTCCTTCCGCGTTACAAACATCTAAGCTAGTGTCACTGAACACTTACACGCTAACAAATCGTCAACGGAACTCCAGATCTACGTGGCTGCCAAGGCTGGGATTTACCGCAATATAAATGTCTACAATGACCAGTAGACGAGGATTACGTTTTCTCACGTAATGGCCCTGGTCAGCAAAATGTGGTCACTCCCAGAAATTAAGGGACCCACGTGTTTCTGTTTTTAAGTTTTAAGTATCATTACCGTTGTGGTTGTAGGTGTTGTGTATCTATCAATACATAGAGGGATGGTCGTGCTGATTATTCACGTGTCCTACTACACGTTATCTAGAAACGCCATATATGTATGACATAATTAGTGAAAACACAAATAAGCAAGTAAATCCAAGCACATTTTTTCAAAATGTTGTGGGAACGACATTCAAGAAGAGTTATTTTTGGCTTACAAACTAAATAAAACGAGAACATCTGTTTTTAACATCTTATCTAGAGACTGAAAACCCTTTTTCATAGTACCTTTCTGATGCTACGTATCATCATATTTCAAAATTCACTACTCAGATCAATTTTTTATGGCTTCTCTGCGTTATCCAGTAAAGAGGGAGAGAGAAGGGTTCCGCAGTTTATCCTCTGAGTTACATGACAATGGTGTCTGCAAAGGCTGTTGATATACAAGTTTTGATCCCCAACATAATGTCTTACAATTTTCTTTTTATCATATTGCATCTGTTTCTTTTTCTAAAATTTATTCTTAATTTCACGACGTTCTGTTTATCAAAATTATTTCCTATTAAGTCTATCTATTAAGGAACTCCTTATGGAGGTACATGCTGTAGTTTGAGGTCAAAAACACCGAAATGCATTTAGAGAAGATTACATTTCACTAGAAGAAATGTTTCGCTATTTATAAAAATTTTCGGGTTCAATAACAACGCATTGTAGATAGATAAATTTTCGTAAAATTGTTAGAAAGTTGAGGTTCTGAAGTCAGTTATACTTGGGGATTTTTCCGTTTGAGTTCCTTCCGATGATCAGTTATAAATTTGGTAAAGCAAATGTCACATTCAAGAAAGCGTAGACTGGCGAGTCACCTAAAGGTTATACGATGCCAGGAGGAATTCCATCACAGAGTTAGTGTCTTGTGCAGCTGTCCAAATGACCCGAATGACGTCTTACGTTTCTGTTCCAACATGACAATGCTCCACCTCATCTTGTCCGCAAAACACAACAAGTTTCCAGTGACCAAAGGGATAACAACTGTTCTTTTTGGACAAAAAAAAAACGGATTTTCTTGGGGTAAACGACGATTTTTTTCTATTTTAACCTTTTTTGTAATAAATCTTCAGAGATTATTACGGAGGTTTAGTCATCTATTAAGGTGCACGTATTCTGATAACAAGCACAGATTCCAGATTAATTGCGATAACCACTGTTTTGGTGGTAAAATGGAATTTATTATATTTCCATGAGTTGTTTACAATGCATTTATTGTGAAATATGAATCTCATACGAACAAATGCTATCTCTTTAAATAGTTCAGACTTATCTAAAACATTGTTTTCTCACTTGTTGATCACAGTAGTTGAAACAATGCCCATATTTCGCTTTTTATGCATAAGACTAGATTTGATCCGGACCTTTGACATATACCTGTACTGCAGTTGACCATAAAGAAAAATAGCGACACTTTATTTACTTAAAGTGTTAGGGCCTACATGTAGATCTTATATTAACTCATCTCTTCTGTCTACATCAGAGCGATTCGGTAATAAACTTCCGCGACTTCTAAGAAAAAGTGTCCCCTATCATATTCTTGTTAAAGGCATCGCATAGTGTTATTTTTCCTACGGATAATTTAATATACAAGGACATGCCCTATAATGCAACCGATCACCGATGCAGTCAATCTCCGTTACCACAACGCCTCTGTGTGGAAAAAATGCCAGCCATTACCGATTCGCATAAAAATGATAAAAGTGTTGAAAACGCAAGTTGTCTGAGAGAGAAGTGGTTAAAAGACCGTGCTAATATGAAATATTTAGATTCTGTTTTCACGGTCTTAAAACAAATTCAAAGAGTAGTGTATATTTGCAAAGCTTTTACTTAGCTAAGCAACAGCCTGTTGAAATGGATCGTGATCATTATTACTAACTGTCTATTGCAGTTCTGTAGCTTTTACGTAGGCATATTTCACTAACAAATAGCCGCCACAACTGCCCATTATAGGCCTATTGTCCTTATGGGACTATTCTTCGCATGTTTATTCCTCTTTCTTAGAATTTTACTTATTGCCACCTATAACGGACATTTGTGTCTTAATGGCATATAAATGGAACAACCTAGAACATGCAACAATTTATACCAGATTTTTTTCAAAAAAATTGGGAATGACCACCATGCATCTGCCCATATCACAAGTAAGCCCACACATCAGAAATTAATGGAATTTGTCCTATAGAAAATATTTGGCTGCATCTTTTATTTTACCCTGCCAATGAAAGCGCAATGATACAAGCGCCCTCTTGGGGTTCCCTTCAATAATTGAAATCGTTCCCTTTCAAACATTTTCGATCCTTTTCTGCTGTAGCAGATTTCACACCTGAGGCCAATTGCGCCGCATTGCAGCAGGTGCGACTTACAGTACGCATGCGCACTTTAGATGACAACAAGACAAGAGAACTAAACAATCGAGCTGGTAGCAGTTCTCCATTGCGAGTTATCCCGTCTGTTACGTCTCTGTATATTATAAAGCAACCCAAGGTTAACTGACAGGGAGATATCTGCCTGATCATGCCACCAAAGAAGAAAAAGGGTGGGAAAAAGAAGGGGAAAAAGAAGAAGGATGGTAAGTTTTGACAATTATTAGATCCAAACGACCCATATACAGTGGGGTTGTATGACATATGTCCATCTTTAAGTTGATGACTTTGTAAAAAGTCGTTGTAAACCTCTATACAGTAGGCATTGCAGTGTGATTTTAATTGTATGGAAGTTATACCAGTCCATTATTTGCAATTTTCTTATATAAAGTTGAGTTCTACGTTAGAGAGAGAATATAAAAATATTTATTTTATATTTTCTTCCAGATGCCGAGTTAGAACTTGAGGACAAATACAGAAAGACGATGGATGAGATTGAAGCACTAAAAGATCACCTGGGTATGTCTCTTTGTTGTTCGAATCAAGTAGTTTGATAAGTATTCTGTTTTGAAAATTTGTAAAGAACAAACAAGTAAGTCAATATTCTGTATCATATTTTTAGGAATTTAAATAAAGTCAGAAAGTTATTTGAGTATATGCAGGTCTGACTGGAATGATTATTTCAGCTATTCGCAAGGAAATAGCCAGGCGTTCCCAGTCAATGGGAGATGAATGGAAGGCACAGGTGAAACAGGCAGAGAAACAAGTTCAAGAGTTAAAAGATGACCACCAGTCAGTCAGTGCAGGTAACATTATGGGGAGCACAACCATTGATTTTGTCTCTCACCTAGCACAATCTGAAACAGGGGCTAAAACTTGTCTTGGTTTAGTGCACTTTTAGCTATGGACATTTATCCCCATGAAGTTTATTTAAATAAATAATAATAATAAAAAATAAACAGAGTGAAAGAAATATGAAAGGTGAAACATTTTAAGTCATTCTTTTAAATTGTAGAAGTTCCCAATTGATAGAATACATGTACTATAATCAAGATCCCATTTTGGACACTTTAATAGATATTATGTATAAATTTATTTTTTGGATATAATATAAAACTATAAATATTGTTATATATATTTACAGACATGACAAGACAGTACAAAACTATGCAGACAGATCTCAGTATTCAGATTCATGACCTGAAGACAAAACTAGAGAGAACACAGAGAGAGTTGGGTAAGTCTGAAAAGGTTGGACATAGCTGTATCTTGCCAGGTTAGCAATTACAAAATTTTATTTATTTTAACTTATTTAAATTGGAAAATAATTTTGAATTTGGGGGAACTCTTGGCACTTTTACTAGACTAATAACAGAATGTCTTTCCATGCAGAATGTCTTTCCTTCTGAAAGCAGTCTTGAAAGATGATGTCCAGTTTTTTATGATGTTTTTGGCATTTTGGTTACATTTATTGTGATGTTCTTATTTTTGTCCTTTTGAGTTAAAATATCAAATCTACTCTTCAACAAAAGATTATGTCATATTTCACATATGCGGAAGAGAAAAATATCTGCTTAAAGAAAGATGTTCAGGAATAGAAATTCACTTAAGTTAACTCATCTTAAGGGGGATAGTAAATTTTACTTTTTAACTAGGCAGATCAGTTTGTTTGTGTGTGTGTGTGTGTCAATGTGTGTTTGGTCTTTTGAATTTCCAAAACTTGCTCCTAACGTCTTTTTTTTCTTTTCTTTCAGAGAAAACCCAGCAGGATCTAGCGGACACAAGAGCAGAGAGGGATAAGATTATCAAGGAGAAGGACAGCGAGATCCTGGACCTGCAGGTTAAGATACAGAGCCAGGAAGAGGCTTATGAAAAGATACTGAACGTAAGTGGGGATGAATTCGAGGGTTGGACAATTTTTAGATTAGACGAGTAAATATCTTGGTTAAGGTGATGTGAATAGAACTTTTAAGTGGGAACAAAATGGAGGGTAGGACAAACTTTTTGATTGGATGGGCTAAATTATCTACTTAATCAAAAACTTATTTGTTGAAACTGTAGATTGTGGGTGCATATATCTTTAAGATTATTGCTTTTGGCGAATGTCATTTCACATGCTGTGCACAGTTGATGAAGTATAAGTACCACAATGGATTCCCAGCATAATTCAACACATAAGCCTCGGAAATGCCTTAATATGTAAAATGTCTTCATTTCTTTTCAGAACACCCTGGACAGTCTGTCAGAGAAGATCAAAAATGCCCGCTTGGTCTGGGTTGATAAAGAATCTATGATAGCTCAGAAAAACAAAGCCACTCTGTTGGAATTTGGACTGAATCCACTGGATTTATGATGATTTTTTAAAACAAAGAAATATGGAAAGAGATTTGACGGAATTTGGATAGAATTTTTCCATATAAACTGCTGAAAACTGTGGTAGATTATTAAGATTTCTGATGGTAAAATTATTGTGGAGGGACATTGAGAAAAGGGAAATTGAGGGACATTTATATTATTTAGAAATGATCTCCCATTACTCCTGTGTACTTAATGTTGTTATATTTTAAATACATTCCATGTTTGAATAGAAGCTGTTCAATTATGTTCACTATTTACAATAAGATGAATGCAAGGATGACTTATTCAATGTATTTCAAAGTGAGGAAATAATACCCACGCTATCTTAGAAATAATGCCCACGCTATCTTACATTCCATGTCATCTTTGGTTTTGACAATGCTGATGTAAGAAAAATACTCCATTTTAGACTATAAATGTTATTGTGCACCATTAGAAAACATTTTTGTTGTACCCCAAGATCTTGTTTCACTGAAGATGCCCTCCTCTTACTAGTGTAGTAAAAACAAAGCTCCCCACCCACTCTTTAGGTCACACGATTGACACATATTGTTCAGTGTTAAAAGCCAGTTTAATTTGTTTACTTATAAACATTAGATCACCTATCCCCCATATCTCTGTAATGTTCAAAATGTTGAAGTGGTTAATGTGGTATCTACTGGCACCATCCATACACACATGTATATGCTGTCTGCTTGAAAGGAGCGGGAATGTCACAATACCAGTCTCCGCCACAGTGTAGATATACAGGACTAGCTGGTACTGCCAGTCAAGTAAACAAACACCTCCTTCTACAGTATTTATATAAATAATTTTAATATTTATTCATTCATTCATTCAATACTGCAAAACAATTGACCACTTCATTATGTCTGGCAATATGTAAATGCCTGTAATGTTGAAAAATACAAAATGAACCCTACTGTCAATTGTCAAAATGTTTCTACATCCTAAGCCTTTTCTGATATATGTTCCTGACTGTTTTTACCAAAACTTATGGCATAACAAAAGTACTCAAATTTGTGAACTTTCAGAGTTTTGGTTGTAATTATTATGTTGACTGAAGTATTACAAAATTTTTAATTTCATTTTAAAACCCATTGACATTAAGGCGATTGTGCACGAGTTCAGCTTTCCTGAAAGCTACTGATTTGATTTGAAGTAGTAAATATCAGCCCAATGAGACAGAGAAATATTCATCTGATTCGGTATTCTGCCAATTAAGAAATTGTAAAAACTGATAAGTGAAATCTGGCAAGCTGCATCTCTTCAGTTTTTGGATTTCTATGACCAACAGTGTTCTGAATTTGAGCTATCAATCTGCTGGAAAACTCATCAAACCACGAATTCTTCTTCACTAATTCTTCACTTTTTTTTTTTTTAATTCTTGTGTTTTTTTGTTTTTTACCTGAAAAATATTTTAAGACTAGAATAAGTTATATTTTCCCTGGATAAATCTGTAAGTATAAAAAACATTTTTAGCTGTTTATTTTAGAGGAAGGGGGGTGATGATGAAGCTTCAGCCTGCAAGGTGCCTGCATTAAAAGAGAAAGAGCAAACGAAAAAAGTTTTGAACTCTTATTAAAGCCTACTAGTTTAGCAAGAAAAATTCAACTTTATCCGTGGACCCAAAAACTATTTAAAACAGAGATACTACATTATATTTTATTATCACATACTGTACAAGCCAAAGTGGAGTATTACAGAAAATTTACACAAGCAAAAGCAAAATTTACAACAGCAGCACCATTTTATTGAGAAAATCAATGAAATCAGTATCTCAAAAATAAGGGCTATTTGCCAAAAGTAAGTACAGTATTTCATATAAGCCTACACTTACCCATTGAACCTAGACTACTCCTGCTGCCTTTAGCTTGCTCACCAATTCATCTACATCTTGTACTATGGACCCAGCCTCTCTTACTGGGGGGTCCTCTACACTTAACACCTCCTGCCGGGGTGAGACGTCCACCCCAAGATCTGCCGGGGATTTTTTGGCTATTGGTTTCTTCTTGGCTTTCTGGGGTTTGGAGAGAAGTGAGGAGAAAAGATTAGCCTAAATGAAAAACTAACAAAACTACTGGGTAATCTTTCAAAATGGCTCACAGTTTGTCAAGATTTCTTAAGTCCAACTACTTTTCCTGCAATACAGTCCTGGACTAAACAATATGTTCCATCCCATCTCATTCTGATAATTCAAACCCTCTTCTGTAAAATGATTTATCCAGAAGAAACATTAAATGGTAGGCTTGTTGTAAAAACATTTTCATTTTCTACTGACAACATCAAAATTGATCATGCAAAATAAAACTCACGCTATTTCTTTAAAATTATTAAAATGTAGATGAAAATGACAAATGTGAATTTCTGATAAATGAAAAGTAGAAAAAATTGATTTCATTTTAACTCCTGATCGCCATTTTTAAAACACACAAGACAGGCCTTTATACTGCACATAATACTGAACAAAATGACCAAAGCAGATCATTTTAATATTATCGAGGATATTCAATCAAAAGACAGTGACTTCGCCTTACCAACACTAACATCACTTTATCTGTTAGATTGAGGGTGATTTTTATTATAAACTCACCATAATATTTGGAAGAGTTGCATATCTTGGTTCATTGAGGCGTAGATCAGAGGTAATTACACAGGGAAGCTTTACATTGATGGTCTCCAGACCCCCATCTATTTCCCTGGTAACCATTAGATCGCCATTATTTTTTTCTATTTTCGATGCAAAAGTTGCCTGTAATTGAAAATAAATTCTGTGTACTTCAAATTAAATTTTGTTGTGATACCTAGAGAAATATATTACTCAAATGTTTTACTTAAAAAGTGATCTCGATCTTTAATAAATAACATAAATGTTTACATTTAAAATGAGAAGACAAAGGCTACATTCTTATCCCCACAACATTACCCATTGGCAAGGAAGATTTTGTTCAACTGGTACATACATGTAGCTGAAGACTCCCTCCAAACCTTTTCAACAAAGTCAACATTTATAGAAAAGTCTTAGGAGCAAGGTACAGACAACTGGTTTATACGTATAAGTGCAGGTAAGATGTGTTAACTAACACATACCTGTGGCCAGTCTAATAGTGCTGCTGTCATCTGTCCTGTCTGATTGCAGTCGTCATCAATAGCCTGGAGACAAACAGACAAAAACATTAAAAAGGTGAGTATTTTTAATTAAATATATCATTTACTATGCATAATGTCTTTCATAAAAACTCCGATGTCTAACATTAAGGTTTAAAATTATGGATTTTGCTCAACAATTTCTGTTTTTCTCTTCTTCGACAATATTCTCTGATGTCACACCTAGACTGCTACTGAAAACAGTTTTTACACAGAGGGAAAAAAACCTTCAAACAAAAAGTTCACATTAATTAAAGCAATAATAACTCTTCGTTTCGGCCAAAAAATGAATTTTCCTGGAGTAAACAACAATTTTCCCATGCTTACCAATGGTTAATGAATCCATTTTTACATTCAAAGTTAGTCCCTGGTTTTTTTCTAAAAAGTTTGTTTTTTTGTTAAAATCTCTTAAGAGATTTTAACAGAGTATAGACATCAGTGGAGGTCACGTGGTCTAAAGACAAGTTCAAATATCAGAATAAAAGCTATAACTGCTGTTTTTGTGGTAAAACAGAATATATTATATTTCTATGAGTTATTCACAAGGTTTTTATTGTGAAATATAGGTCTCATACAAAGAGTTATTATGCCTTTAACATTTAAATCACCATAATATACTGTATTAAAGTAAGCATGACCTGTTTTCCTAAGAAGATAATATCCACTTTCTCTTCTTCCGCTATCTTGGCCAGTATTTTAGACACATGGAATGGCTGTAAAGTCTCGTAATCCTTGCCACTGATCTCCACATGTATGCCCCTGTCCAGCCCCATGGCTAGAGCTGTCCTAAGTGTCTCCTGAAATAAGGACAATGACAATAAAGATTTGCCCATAAAACTTTGATATAGTCTAACAAAGTAATCAAAATGTTCACCAATATCATATTAAAGAGAAACACCTAAGTATCACACGATCAGCCTAAGCAATTTGAAAACTGAATTTAATTTTAACGTTGAATTTTGAATTAATAAAAGACTTTTTGCATGGTTATAACTGGACAGTACAAATTTTTCATCAAATAAATTGTACTTTCTGCGCTTTTATAATATTTGTATATCAAGTAAAGCCAGCATTTTAAAAAAATCAAAATTTAGATTAGAAATAAATTTATTTCTCCTCATTTCCTTTATTTTAAAAGACTGAAAAAATCATCTGGTCATGGGACATTTGCAAGCCATTACAGGTAATTTCTTGGAATATCTACTAATATCATAATATAAATCAATGTTAGCTCTGAGTCAGGTGGCCAGTGAAGCAGACACACCAGCTCATTGTTTACCTGACATTGCTGAGGTCCACAAGATACAGCTATGATCTCGCTGGCTAACTTCTTCTCCTTCATCCTCACTGCTTCCTCAACTGCTATCTCATCAAAGGGGTTCATGCTGTGCTTCACACCCTCCGTCACCACGCCCATCTTATCTGGCTTCACACGAACCTGGGGGAAATTATTACAGAATGATATGATTATGATACATAGTCATTATTCACAATTTGCTTCTTACTAGTACACGCACATTGTTAAATGTGTAATTCACATCAAAATGTGAAAATAAGGTGAAATTGGGCTTGAACAGGATGTCGGCTGTGCTTTATAAGCTAACAGTAGAGTATTTCAATTGAAAGTAAAGCGATCCATCAAAAGCAAACCAGGGCAAATGTACTTAGGTAAAGACAGGTATAGAAAAGCCTTTACAGCAAGCCGAATGCGACTGGTTACAACTGGTTCAAGTTAACTCTGTGTCGTTACATTCGGCCGTTTCAGATATAAATTGATAAAAATAGGCACCGAGGCATGCGGTTATGTTTCCCGTGGAATAAAACGATTATTTCCACAGAAACGCTCTGCTTCACTTAGACCTAAACTACCTTGACAGCGTAGTCTATCACTCGCTTGCATCCCACCAGAATTCTCAACGCCATCTTGACACCATTCAAATGACCTTGATGGCCTTTCGTCATTATTTAGTTTTCTCCTACAATACCTCTTCAAATGTGTACACAGGTAGTTTTACAATAGAATTGTTGTGACATAATTATCAAAATGAGATGAGGGGGTAAAAACAGGCTGAAAATACAGACATCCTTGACACTCATACGGGACTTTTCAAGATGGATGCGCGCTGAAGTTGACGCCAGGATCTTGAAATGTTACTAAAATTTAATTGTTATCTTTGGCCTTAGTTATTCCTCACGAAAAATACCAATAAAAATATCGGGCTCAAGTCGTCCCACAAAGATCACTGATCAAACAAGAACGCACGGGAATCCTACCACCAGTAAAGTAACGCGTTTTCTGTTTCCATTGCCATTGACGTTTGTACTACTTACTACAGTGTGCACATACCACTACCAGGTGGCCCAGTATAGGTATGTATTAATTAAGGTTGCAATGGGGGTAGGGAGGAGGCAACAATGTAGCCAACTTCATGATTCATGAAGGGAAGTCACGCCAAAGTGATGTCAGACTTTTCTGTATCTTCTTTTGAAGTTTTCCTCAATGCCAACACCGGTGTAACGTGACAGGAAATCCCCTATAACAGAGTGTCCGCTTCCCATTCATTTGTACAGGTAAGCCTCGCCCTAGATTTTGACCCACTTATGTCAGACTAACCCTAACCATTATAACTATATGGAGGGCGGACTTTCTGTTACACGGACCTTCAGTTTCGTTACACCCTTGTTTAAGTGAGGTCACATACAGCCTTAAGAGTTTCCAACACAACCTGGTGTGGGATCTTACCTGGACAAGGCTGAAAACACAGGCAAAAGTCAAGGTTACCCTCTTACTAGTAATTCCTGTTTTCAATTATCTTTTTACATTTCCAGACCCTCAGCCCTATGCAGGTCACCTGTATACAGGCAAGATGTCAGGAGCGCTAGCCAGGGCAGCGTTCTACCCCACTCTTCTGTATAATGTGGTGATGGAGAAAGTAACATCACGGAGGTGGTACGACAGAATAGACAGCCGTGTCCTACTGGGAGCATTGCCATTTAAACGCATGTCAGAGAGGGTGAGAAGTCTTTCTCTCTCTCGCCCCCCTTCTTTAAAAGTTATTGATACATATATTCAAATTGTAGAGAAATAATCTCCCTTCCTCTCTCTCTCTGAAACTTATTTTGAAATTGTAAGACATTAAATGTTAACCATATGCATGTTAATAACATTTCATGTAGATGTCAAAGGTTCCTTTAAACAACTAGAGTTACTGTAACTAAATTTCAGGGCTGAAAGGTTTCTTTTTCAGCTTGTAGAAGAAGAAGATGTGAAAAGAGTGATTACAATGAATGAAAACTATGAAACAAGGTACCTCTGCAAGAGTTCCAAGGTAATAATTAAAGAAAGCAAAAGAAAAAATGCAAGGAAGAAATATGCTAAAAATTATTAATAAAAATAATATTAGTGATGATGATAATAAGAATTATTATTTTAATAATAATTGGAAGTCATTCCACAGCACATCTGGTAAACAGTGACATACCGTGACAAACATTTCAAATTATTTAATATCAAAAGAAATAGGTAATAAAGTATAATAGGTAGTAAATATACATATAAGCACAACCAAAAAGACCTTATATAATAGTTTGTCATTTTGGAACAGGGTGAAATTCCATATTGATAATTACTTTATAATTTTATATAGAACATTTGATGACAACACACCAGTATTTCAGCATCAATGATGACTAAGAATTACTTACTCAATTAATGTTGACATGTAGATACATTTGTTGATCCATAGTGCAGTTTATGTTAGGGAAATGGCATAAACTCCACTGAATAACATGTAATTCCTTACTATTTCTTGTGGTGCAGGGGTGGCAAAAGTTAGGGGTGGAGCAGCTACGCCTCAGTACCACCGACCTGACCCCACCTTCTGTGCAGGACTTGACCAAAGGTGTGAATTTTATTCTGGATGCACCAGAGGGAAGTGTGTATGTGCACTGCAAGGCTGGGAGGTCACGGAGTGCAACTTTGGTGGCTTGTTATCTCATGAAGGTAAATCTTCACTTGGAAGATTAATACTTCACGTGCAGGGGTTTCCCCAGGGTTTGGAGTACAGGGAATCCAACTACAAATATACTGCGATTCCCCAAAAATTTCATAGTGATCTTCAAAAATATGGGCTCTCTTTTGAGCCCTGTGACCACTAAAATGATGGCTGGATGGCTTTCTAGAAAAAGTCTTGTTCACATATCAAGTAACAAATGATTCAGAATCAAAATGATATCTGATTTTTGAGGATTTTTTTTTTTTTTTTTTGTTTAATGATTTCAAAGTCGGTTGTAATTGGACAAAACATGTTTTTATTTAATATAATATTTGATATTTATGTTAATTTTACCTTGTTGTATAACTTAATTCTTTATTTATTCTGTCATGTATTTATTTTTCTTTTTTTATGATGATTTATTCATATTTAACTTCAGGTCCACAACTGGAGTCCCGAAGAAGCTGTAAGTTTCATCAAAGACAAAAGGCCTCATGTCATGATCCTTCCGTCTCACTATGAAGTACTTAGGACTTTTCAGCAAACTCTCTCAGACTAAATTCAAGTGGCACTTGTAGAATTTCAAGTTTATTGTAGTTTATTGTATAATAATAATAATAATAATATATAATAATCTTTATTGTAAAATCGCAACCCGAAGGTTGAAGTTATACAAATATGTAATTTATTAATTTATTTAAATGAAATTATTATTCAAGTCAGAGAAGCCTGGTCATTTTTTTTCACCGGTGCACTCTGTAGATGCTCTCACCTCCCAGGTGAGGATACAGCTTGGCTGCCATATTAGGTGCTCAGAACTAACATATCATTTCTGCACTGCCTGACCAGGCCCCTGCTTCAACCCCTTGCCAAGCGGGGAGACAGCAGGTACCGTTTATAAAGGACTGGTAAGTCCCCGGACAGGTTTTGAACCCTCGTCCTCCCACTCCGGAGGCGGACACTCTAACCACAAGGCCATCCGGTCAGTTATTATTGAGCCCTGTAGCCAACAATTTCAGGGGTGTGTGTGGCTTTTTATGAAAAAGTGAACCTTATGACATTCATTGTTGAGCCAACATGAAAAATGCCATAGCACCCTTATAATTTTTTTTTATTTTGAATGGAAATTTTCTTACCATAAGATCACACCCTATGGGTCGTTTTATCTTACACACCAGAGACATCTGGTGACAGTGTACATAATAATTATTTAATTCTGATAATTGTACTAGTGCAGTAATCAAGTAATACCGAGTAACACTGAATGTGAAAACCTTTAAGACCAGTGAAATCAAATGATTACCAATTATATTGGAAATGTTTATGTGTAATGCTGCAAGAGTGCTCATTTCCATGGATTAGTTCAGAAACTTCACAAGTGCAAGCTAGAATGAGTGAGTGATTTCTCAGGGTGTCGCGAAATGAAAGTTAATTTATCAACCTACTAGGTTGTGTTAAAGTTCTCTTGTGGGTAGTAGTTTCTTGAAAAAAAACCCCTTTCTATTGCACTCGTAGAGAGGACATTTATATTTATTTATTTTTATAGAGGATATTAAATGGACACTGGATCTGAAAACTGAGAGGGACAAGTTTCATATATTTCTAAATACTATTTGAAATGAGAACTAAAACCATTTATCGGCATTTTGTTTGCAATGTGTGGTAGTGAATTTGATTACTTTCAAATTATTAAAAGTATTACAGTGTCTATTTTCCTTTATTTTACTTCATGATAAGAAAAATATAAGGTTTCAAAACAAACCAAACCCATGCATGTTTATAATCTGATGTCCATATCATGATATATGCGATATTGCTACCTCCTGCAGGCTTACGAATTAATTCAAATGTCGGAAATTTCATCTTGGCAAAATCGTAGAGGTTATGGAGGCCGTGAATCCTGCCTCCCCACGGATGCCCACGAAAAGGAAGATACGGGTACTGCGTGGACATCCCATGGCAAATGTTACTTAGGTTTGCGTTTAAAATTCAGCTAAATTTTGTGTTTTTGGTCGGGAATTGTGCGTACAATTTTCGAAGGACTGTGCAGTGTTTGTAAAAAAGACAAAATGTCAATTGCATCTTTTGATTCAACGTTATTTCGACTTGTAAGTTCAACCCCCTTGATGAAAACCCATATAATTAGACTAACATACTCTATATGGCGGCAACCACGCAAGAAAACGTACTTTGGTTACTGTACATGTATAGCAATAAACGTATGATGCTTAAAATAGTTTATCTGGAAATAGTTTTTTATGGCCTGCGCAAATATGCAATTTTTTTGTATAATTTTCAAATGCATTGTTTGCAGTCACGTAGGTGATGATTAATGCATTTCTATCTCTACAATCACCAATGTATTAGAATTTAATATGTACATCGGCAGGCGTAGAATTAAGTTCTCTGTCACTCGGCACAGTTATGGGCCAGAGCGTGACGATCATTGCTAGATAAAAAAAAGTTTGTGTTATAATTAAAGACATCGACAGATAGATAGTGACAGGTTCTTCATCACTGGGACCAAGTCCGGTATAGCAGGAGTGCACATCCTGGAAAGTGAGTGCTAGGGCATGCATTGCTGGGAATGGAAGTCCTTGGGCATATGTCGTGCCCGATTTGAAAATTACAGACTACAAATATGTTGACGATACTACGGTGTATGACATTTACAAACACAATAGTTGAAATCGTGCAGAGGACACAAAATAACAACATCAAACTGAATGCCACAAAAAAAACCAAGACCTTGACCATAAATTTTACACATTGTATGCCAGACCTTCCGCCAAAAGTTATAAATGATACTCCAATCTGTGTGATAACTGATTTCAAACTTCAGGGCATCCATATTATATTACCTACAATAGGGTTCTCATGTGGATCATGTACATATAAAAGTATGTGCAAGACTATTTTCTCCGTCAACTGAAGCGACCTATAAATATAAGATCAGCCCTGCGGACTTAATCCTATTTTACCGAAGTATTGTGCCTGCCCAGAACCAAAAAGACCATCTATCTATCTATATGTCTCTAGATAGATAGATAGATAGATAGATAGATAGATGGTCTTTTTGGTTCTAAACCAAAATGACCATCTATCTATCTAGAGACATATCTAGATTGCCAGATTTTAAGTCTATAGACAATATATGGGTAGCCAGTACTCGCCGAATCAACGGTCTACTGTTCCTACAACAAATCTGAACCAAATTGGACAAGCTCTGATCGATGCCTGGAATATTGTTCCAGTTAAACAAGGAATCTGTCAGAAGGAATGCCTTAATTGTCGCTTTAGAGCCCTAGAAGCCCCATATGAGGCCAGACGCACCACTGACTACTGCTGTGACTAGACACTTATAAGAGCGTTTTTTGACATCACAATTACACTGAAAAGTTTATTAAAAGTTATTTAATCAAGATTTAAATTTTTGTTGTCACTAATGAGTCGGAAAAGTAGGGAAAAAAAAAAAGAAAAATGATTTGGAAAAAATATTCCATATTAAACGTCGTCTGTATTTTGTATTTAACATTTTGAAATATAACCCCTTTACACATCTTTATCAAATGTTTTGAAGTAAAAAGTGCACCAAAAGACATGGTGTTATCATGAATGACAGTAATAATAACCGTGCTATGAAATTGTCTTATCGCTATGTTTCCCTCTGCCGACAAGTGCAGCGCACGCCGTGAGTATATAGGGCCTGACTCTTTCTCATGTGACTTTCATCTGAGTATGTATATAGTGTGTAAACGCAGTCTGTTGCCCGGCAGCAGGTATTTCTTAACGTCGTGCCCCTTGTTTACGAGCCTGCCATTGGTTTAAATAGGCTACGGAGGTTCTTCAACAGAAATACCTGTGTGGTTATATAAGGTACAGATTACGATACGGAGGTCACATTCCTTCCGATTGTGAGTGACGGCGCGAGTGTTGTGAAATTCATTGGCAGCCCGCGCTTGAAATCGACGCTTTTAAAACATCTGCAAGATTTTTTTTTCTCTGAAGTAATTAAGAGATGTTAACCTGTACGGTTACCGTGGCCGCTCTGCTGTTGGCAGCCGCAGTTTCTGCAGACAGCCATGACTTCACCCACCATGCATCTCTCAAAGACGACGACTACTTCATTCATTGGAAGTTTGATGACACTTCTATCACGTTCAACGTGACGGCTCGCACTACGGGCTATGTGGCCCTGGGGTTCTCTCCCTCGGGAGGAATGAAAGGGGCAGACATCATCATTGGATGGGTGAAAGATGGAAAAGTCACGATAGAGGTAAGATAATTCTACGTTTATTCAGAACAGAAAAGCGATAATTTTATTAAATTTCCAAAGTGGGTATTTCGGAAGCTTCGGCTACCCAGTGAAGGCGTCTGAATAACATCATGAAGTAGTAATCGTTCTTCATTAGCTCTGAGGCAGCTGAAGGAAAAACAATGCCTGAAAGTGTTTATAAATTGTGCACAATTTTAACTGACATGAGATCTGCAGGGAGAACTCGGAATACACAGTCCGATCAGGACGAAACTCTCATATTCATATTAAAGCAGCGTTAAGACGGCTGGAGGTCGGGCGCAGACTCACAAATTACTACATACGAGAATCGCCTGTTCGGCAACACAATACTTGAAACCTAACGAAGGCAGTTACGAGGGTACGAGGACATTGACGAGCGTTTTGAATGTACAAATTTCGATAAATTAAGAGACTTTTGACGAATTGGGAGTTGAGAAAAGGGTAACACTCCTTAAAGAATTCCATAAGGTTTCATTTTCAAACGCTGCTTTGGGACGTGGGGAGTAGGCGGGAACAGCCCCCTTTGCCCCTTCCTCATCCGGCAGCCTTAATTATAGCCCCTTATATCTAATCACGATATAAAGTATATTTAACACTGCTTCAAAAAATAAAAAGCAGTTTTAAACACGCACAGATTATATTGTCATATAAATAAATGTAGTATAATCCAGTAGGTTTACTCTGCACGTTTACATATATTTATATACACTACCAAGGTTTACTCTTGGACATAATAACGAATTTTCGTTATTATGTCCAAGGTTTACTTAAGGCTCCACTCCTTTCGAATAGAAGCAAGAGCCCTGACGTGAGAATTACATAATAGCAGTCACTGCAAACTCCATATTATTGTTCCCTACTATACACCCTCAGTATATTACAGAATCTCGTTCAATTTTAACCTTGGACAATGGATCCAAAAATGATAATAAAAGACCAAAAATGTTTTTAATAAAGCGAGTGGTACGTTTGACAAAAGAAAACTTGATATTTTCGTCTTTAAGGGAAAGAGAGGGGTCTTGAGGGAGAGAGACAGATGATACCATAAATCGGAGAGAGAGAGAGAGAGAGAGAAAACTGTCAATCGAAAACATATCAGTTACTTTTTTCTTGTAAATAGGCGCAGTATTATATTCTGAGTGGACTAGTTTTTACGTCGGTTGTAAAAGTAATTTCCTTTCGTCTATAACTAATTTGCGACATTCGACAAGAGTGTGGTACCACATGTAGGCCTAGTAAGATCTAGTAACCTAGTCCCGCAGGCACCTCCGTAATCCGTTTCTACTCTCTGACTTGTTGCAAAATTATTTCTCATACTTTAATTTGTATAATATTTTTAAACGATTCATAAATTTATTTGCATACTATTTTAGAAGCCCCTGATATATCAGAAGGTAGTTCGTTTTCCTTTTTTCGTGCAGGTGACATTCGTCCCTTTTTTTTTATTTTGTCCAAGGTCCCATATACTAACCCAGATACGTCTGGCTAACCCTATTTAGATGAGACCCAGGACGTGTATGACCGCCATTCCTGTCACACCAAGCCCTGCTGGGTCCAAGTTCTTTCCAAAACCTGACCACTACGGGAGGCTAATTAAGATATTGCAAGGGCGTTGTCCCACCTATAGGGCTGTTTTGCAATTCAAGATTTGCTTACATTTCTATTCGCGTGAGTGTGGTAGTGTTGCAATGACAATATTTACAGCAGTGTTAAGTAACTAAGTACAGTGTAGATAAGGGCACTGGTCAGTGTTTACCTTGTGGACAGACCACTCGATAGACATGTGTTCAAACATGCGTGTGGGAAACACCTTTTAAAGATGCATATCGAACGAGTAGACCCGTGAAATTAAACCTGGCCAAATGCCTCCATATTGTTTTTTTTAAGATTTAACAAGACTAATTCAAAGAAAACTACGCAAATTGCATCAGGCATTATAGCCAAGAAGAATGCAAAATACATTTGAATAGTAGGACTCTCTTCATTTTTCACTTATTAAGAAACTGGTCGTAGGAATGTTTATGAGTTCGGCCTATTTGATTTAGGTAGTAGGCCTAGATAGATAGTCATGTTAACCTGCAGTCAAGTCTTCTTTTTACACCGAAGACCCTGGGATATTCGTATTTTTATTCTGTATGAAGATTCAGTAGAGACTTCTTCCTCCCAAATATGGAGAAACGTCAACTGACCATCAGCACGAAAAAATTCGCTATTTTAATTTTAACAATTCATCTGGCTAGGCAAGAGCACATTAGACATTGTACCCGGTATTTTATGTGTGTTTTATTGCAATAAAGAACAAGATTTGATGTCTATTTTATAAAGCCTCGAAATTTTAACGGGTTTATACTGTTCAAAAAGGTTTGATAACAACCATGCCACAGCGTCAGCTGTATATTTAAAAATTTGGGGCTGCGCCTTATTTTCAGGATCGCCATGCAACGGGCAAACAACAGCCGATACTAGATACGAAACAGGATGTCGAGATACTGGGCGGCAGTGAAGACGGCACTTTTACGACACTGCTGTTCAAGAGGAAACGTCAGACATGCGACGACCAGGACTTCGAAATTACAGTAAGTGGATGCCATTTTATTACTCTACTTTTTGGTTGTGTCCATTATGGTACCGCGCAGATTAAGACTGCATTCCCACAGATTTAGATCGATCCATCTGGATCGACCTAGTAACTCCCTGGGGGTTCACGCAAAATTGCTGTCAGTTTCCGGGAGCCGAGCGCGCACAAAAGTTAATTACCCCCTTACAGCTTTTAGTGGGCGGGAGAGACATTTAAGTCGGTTAAGCTGACAGCAATATAACGAGACTCCCCAGGGGGATAGATCGATCTAAATATCTGTGGAAATGGTCTATAAGATAAAATCGATAATGCCAATACCCATTAGTAGGTAGGGTCATATTGTCTTCAGTAGGCACAATACAAGATAATGTAAACCGAGGCTATCTGCGCTGCGTGTCGTCATACCCCGCATTTTTTATTGTTTTTCTCTTTAACAGAAAGGACTTTTTAGTACCCGTAAATACATCAGTGTTTCTTCCGGAATGGAATTTCTCAAAAGAGCAAATAGAAACTTTTTGTTTTTGACGGATATTATGAAATATTTTATTTTTCAAATAAAACATTATGTAAGCAGCTGTTGAAAAGGCTGTTCGAAAGAAGTCCTCATAAACGAATGCAAAGCGTATTCTATTGCATCCATTTTAGCGCCCTTTACCTCACTCTAATGGCGGAGGCCTACAGTGTATATACGCATAATAAAAATTTCAAAATTAATGAATATTACAATAATAAAAAGCACAGAGACACACTTTTAAATTTACTTAAAACAAATTTAATGCAAAAAGGAAGTTAAAAGATATTGATCACAAAAAAAAAAAAAAAAAAAAAAAAAATTTAAGGGTGAAGTTTTAAGAGAGACGTTGAAACTTTCAATATAAAAACCTTTTCACATTTTGACACCACGTTAAATTTAAAGCCATCATGGGTCCGGTGTTGAATGGATCCGTTAAGAAATATACTTAATAAACAACACTATGTCTATGTATGGCCTTTAGGAAAGCACCATGCGTCTGATCTGGGCGTACCGAGATGGAGACCCCGACACTGCCAGTGGGCCGCAGTACCATAGCAGCAATAGAGGAGTGAAGAGCGTCTACCTCCTCGAGCCCTTCAGACAAGAACAGCAGCAACCGCTTCCGGCTGACGCCTACAGTATCGACTTGCTAAACGACAAGGTACGATGAAACTCTTACAACTATATGTATTGATGTGTTATCATACTGGCAGATACTGTAGACCATTTACTTCCAGTAGCAAATCCGTTGACACCTTATTTCTCTTTCCAACAGCCTCACTCTCAAATGATGGTGGAAAAAAGTTGCTCAAATTTGGGGGGTGGGGGGG